ATAAAATATAAGTGACTTTAAATTTAACACTGCTGTAAGTGAAATATGTTTCAACTGATAGTAATAGTAATACCAAAATTACAATTACTAGAACAATACAAAAAAAAAAAGACAAGTTAGTAAATTTATTTACGGTTCCACTGTTTGAAAACTTACCAAATATTCCGTCCTGTTTATGTCAATAGGGCTGATCACTGTAAAAGCTTTTTTAGTTTTGTGATTGAATGACCAAGGTTTTTCCATCTCTGCCTTCACCCAGTATCTAATGCTGCCATATTTACCTTCGAATGAAGTTGAAATACCCCTAGTTTAAAACAATTAATTACACTTTATTATAAAAAATATTTTATTAAAATACTGCGAGGTCAAACAAACTGTGATTAAACTCAATGATATAAAATGTCTAAATACTGTAACATAAAAATTATTAATACAATTTTGCTATATATAAGCTATGAATTCTAGGCTTATGTAAAGCTATGCTCAATCACAATAACAACAAAAATATCAAAAATAAAAATTTTAAAGTAACAGACATTATGTCATTATAAAACCGATAAATCAGCTAATGTAATAATCCATGGCCCTCTTTGCTTAAACAATTTGTTTGTTTTAGAGAAAAGCCACATTCTGTTGTATCCACCGCCGAAATGAAACCCCAGATTTTAGCAATGTACGTTTTTTGTAGTAGGCAGTATAATTCATATTATCAATTACTGTACTAAGTTCAGATCATCTAGTACCATATATTATAAGTGCATTTTCAACAAACTTACACTGCTAAAAATAGACAAATACTCAAATAAGAAATTATATATCAAAAATCTTAGTCCCAAAATATATTCTACATAGCCTAGTAGTTAAAGCTATAGTAACTAGTCACAGCATTCTTATTAAGCATCTATCAGCAACAAAATAAGAAAAGATAATGTTTACATGTCTATTTCATAAAATGTTATATATATATTTTATTTGTTTCGTAATCGCTCGTGATTTTGAATACAAGTGTTACTATCTACGTACATTATGTTACTATGACAGTTATGAGGACAAATCCACAATTATTTCACTCACCCAGATGGAAGCTGAAAGGAAAACCGGAATTCGTGATGCCCTTCTGCTAATATCTCCCGACCTTCTCTAGCCTCTGATAATGAAGATTAGAAAATGATCAATTCTGGGTTTTGTGTGCAATTGTTTAGCAAACTAACTGAAAAGTAAAAAGTCATTCATCCCTAAGAACACTAGAAATAAAAGTAGTTTGTAAAGATTTGCACATTGTCATACAAAGCATCAACGCAAGTTATTACTTTCTTTCATAGACAAATAACTCTCCAGACTTTCATAGACAGTGCAAGTTTATTTTTAGATGCAAAAAAAACAGAAGTTTCAATACTTCATCAATTTTGGGTAGTTTGAAGGGATTCCTTTTTTTTTAAGATGGTACAAAATTTCAAACTCACGTATTATTAACACCTGACACACGAGTCAGCCCAGTATTTATGAGTACTGAGCCTAGGGTGGTTAGGTGGGTGGGAGTCATTCTAGAAACCGGTGATTTTGTTATCTCGATGAATGAAGCTAAGTAAATCTTATAAAACAAAACAAAAAACAACAACTAAATATTAATGAAAATATAACATGATGAAATCTATTTGGATTATACTATGGTGGTACCATAGTGGACATTATACAACAAGATGAAATCTATATGGATTATACTATGGTGGTGAGTATAATCCATATAGATTTCACCATGTTGTATAATGTCCAGTATGGCACCACCATAGTATAATCCATATAGATTTCATCTTGTTGTATAATGTCCACTATGGTACCACCATAGTATAATCCATATAGATTTCACCATGTTGTATAATGTCCAGTATGGATATACACAATAGTAAACAGAATCAACTTGTAAAGTTAAATACTACACCATATTCGTTTCATGCTGTATACACAATAGTAAACAGAATCAACTTGTAAAGTTAAATACTACACCATAATCGTTTCATGCTATATACACAATAGTAAACAGAATCAACTTGTAAAGTTAAATACAACACCATATTCGTTTCATGCTGTATACACAGTAGTAAATAGAATCAACTTGTAAAGTTGAAGAATAGTAGGCTGTTAATTACACACACAATACACGTCACATAACCATTAACTCAAGTAGTTTAAAACTTTTCAGTAAATTAATACTTACCACGCCTAGAATATTAGAATGAGTACATTAGAAATCAAAATTTTCATATTTTATAACTTTGAGATTCTCATATATAGGAGGTTTTGTATTATAATTTTCAATCGATTTGACTTTTCTGTCTTTTTCACTGTCATGCGCACTCATATGGAACAAGTTTCGTATTAGTACCTGCCCCACAAATAGTCCGACATCTTGATGTGGGTCCAAAAAATGAGTCATTCCGGAAAGGTTTGGGTTGTTTTGATTAGACAAGAAGAAGACGTTTGGCACTATTTTCGAGGTCTAGGTCGCTGGACCTGACCCAAGACCATGAGAGCCAACATGGAGAAGTTAATTTGTAAATGTAAAGTAAAACGATGTAGCAATGAAACATGCTTGAAATGTTCTACATGTGTTTGTGAATGTGGTGGTTTAAGTGTAGTGATTAAGCTACACCGTGGGTCCAGGTCGGATGAGGGAAGAACTTATCTGAGGATATCTCAATCGAGTTGACATATCAGAGATTCATTAACTAATTACTGCATTGACAGCGATACATAAAAGAAGGGGGTACAATAATATCGTTATCTTTAAAACAGGAGATTGGAATCATATATTAGAAATCACAAGTTTCGATATTTTGTGAAAGTAATGGTACAGTAAAGCCCAAAGATGTAATGTTGAAGTTGAAGCAGATGCACGATGCATTACAAGATGTCCCTAACGGTTCTCAAATTAAAAATGATGTTTCTACAATGAAGAGTAAATATAAGTAGGATGGTATAATGCCCAGTATGGTACCACCATATCATGAAACGAATATGGTGTTGTATTTAACTTTACAAGTTTCTTCTGTTTACTATTGTGTATACTGTATACACAATAGTAAACAGAATCAACTTGTAAAGTTAAATACTACACCATATTCGTTTCATACTGTATACACAATAGTAAACAGAATCAACTTGTAAAGTTAAATACTACACCATATTCGTTTCATACTGTATACACAATAGTAAACAGAATCAACTTGTAAAGTTAAATACTATACCATATTCGTTTCATGCTGTATACACAATAGTAAATAGAATCTACTTGTAAAGTTAAATACAACACCATATTCGTTTCATGATGTATGAAACGAATAGTAAACAGAATCAACTTGTAAAGTTAAATACAACACCATATTCGTTTCATGATGTATACACAATAGTAAACAGAATCAACTTGTAAAGTTAAATACAACACCATATT